CCTAAATCTTGCTCCTCAAACGAACTCATCTATGAGCAAGTGATGTAGTTCTTGTGAATGTAGTAGTGGTACAACGCATATCGCCACGACAAAAAAACCTAAGAGATTTTCTCGACCATCAATGGTGAAAGATTTCATTCATCATAGTACGTACTTCAATTATTATTTTATATATACCCAAGTAATCTATACTCCCAAAAACCCACTTGGATTTATTAGCCTCACGTTCATGGCTTAATCAGTACTTAATTAAGAAAAGAAATCGGATTCATGAAACGGAGAAAACAGAAAACGCCAAAAGGTGCCTGCTTTGTATGGTAGCGTACTGGAGTAGTAAAATAGCGGTTCTAATTAAGCAAGCGGGGTTTGGTTTTAATCAGTTTAGCTTTTAGCAAGACGTGTCAATGAAACCGTGGCATGGCGACAGCAAAAGGATTCTTGATTTAGGAGCTTTTGTTATGATTAAATTGATGTAGCCAGCTTTATTCCATAAATTAAACAAAAGCGAAAGCCGGACACCACACTTGGTAGACCCTCATTTTGTTGCTAGTCCAGTCCTGCTGCCTGGATTTTATGGGATGATAGTCTACAAAAGAATCAATTTAAGATGACCGGATTAGTCAGAAAAGCATTAACTACATAACCAATTCCAATTTCCAAGCCCTTTTGCATAGTTGTATTGCAATGCAAATTTCACAATTCTAGCAAACGCCCAGATGCTGGTTTTCTCAGCCACAACTCACCCAACAAATAAATGGATGAATAAATAAATAAGAGCGCTAAAAATGGGGTCCAAATAATGATGGTGTGAATCCAGCATAAAAAGAATTGGAGGTAGGTTCAAATTCCAATAACAATGTAAATGAGTACATTATTGATTAAGTCCTCAACGCCAGACAGTTTTTGTATCTGGGAAGCATATTTCTTGGATGAATTTCCTGGCTAACCGTTCCAGAATCATGGAACGACCGACTGTCACATTCTATGATTGGATCAACTGTCCAGGTGAAATGTTAAGTGAAAGAACGACCGTCTGTGTATATGGATGAACGCCAGAGTTTTGAAAACTTTTAGGGTGATCTGATGAATCTGTGGAAAGTTACTAGAGATGTTTGCTAAATTATTAGTAACAGATTTCGAGGCCCTTGATTCGAGTTATTCACTTCTTATGTAATCTCCTCTTTGGTAGTTGGTACCTTGATCACAATTCAGGTAACGGAATGTTGAAATGCCTTGAATCAAATCTTCGACCCGTTGAACTGTTCGGAGGTCTCGATTTTTGGGCTTAATGGTCCAATCCGTTTTTGGTTATTTGGTTGTATATATATACCTTATATTCATTCTGTACAAAAAAACACCTGATAGATTCCAAACCCTAATAAAAATCTGATTTCTCCCAAATTTATTCTTGCTTGTTCTTGTTTGTTCTTTCTGTTCCGCTGCATCGGTTTTAACACAGAAATATCAGGAGTTAGCTGCCTTCAATCTGGATGCGGAATTCTCCCATCCCTTCTCTTCAGTAGTTTGAGTTGTCGAGATCCTCGTTACTTGTAATTGTACCACTACTGGATTCGATGATGTTGGTCATATATTGTACTTTTGCGTATATGTTAAAAGTCTAAACAAAACACCGCTCTACAACTAAAAAGTTGCAGACAGTACAGATAGAACTGCACTGAAACCTATAGATTTCAGCCCCAAGTGTCTGCCTCAGGAGTGAGGCCTCCTTCTTTAGTAGCATCATGAATTGTATACAATATACTACTGTTGACGTCAACGGCGCGAACCGAAAGCTTCGCTTGTTCCAGCTTTTCAGACCATCAATTCATATCCCCTCTTCCAACCCACCAATCCTGATTGATAGCGGCCAATGTTGTACATGTATAAACAATCTAACGACCACTCTGATTACGTAGAACCTGGAGTAACTTTTCATCCGTTCTTATTAAACTAAGTCATCCTATAGTGATTGAGTGATTTTCACAATTATGATTGCAGGGTGCAGATCAAGTCCTTAAAAGATACTCACATGGGTGGGTGCAAGGGCTCTGCAGCCTGTATCAATAGTCTATCTGATGTATAAAGTCAAAAGAACAATAGGCGTAGTAGGAGAGGCAGCATAGCCCATTGCAGAAGATTATTATTCTTAGTTCTTACACATGGATTACGGATATAGGTCATTCCCGACAAATACGTATTACGTATCAGCTGATACCGATGCATATCGGTCGAATCGTAACCGGAACGGAAGGGATCGACACGATACCGATCTCCGAATTCCGGATATTACCATATCCGCGGTGACTCGCTTTGACTCGACTAATATTGGCCGATTCGAATTCGTGATGCATGATATCGGCCGATATATCCAAGTCCACTCGGAGTCGATTCGGATATTTTTTCAAATTGTGTCTTTTTTTGATATTTTCTAATTTTTGTAATTTTTTCTAATTTTTTGAAAACTTTCATGTATTATAATATGCGTATCACCCTATATTCAACAGATATGCCGCGACGGATGTGAAACAATCGAGACCGCGAACCATGATAGGCGTGGTAGGACAGGCAGCATAGCCTATTGGAGAGGATTAGTATTCTTATAGTTCTTACACATGGATTAAGGATATAGGTCATTCCCGAGAAATACGTATTAGTCTTTATCCCTCTAGCTCCATCCATCCCTTGTGGGATTTCATATAAACTTATCCTTCCGTGGTCCGCTGCATTATAGAGAAAAAGCATTTAAAGCAATGATGGACAAATGAGAGGAACAAGTTCCCCATTCAAGGATTTTGAGTCTAGGTGATTGTTGATTCAGCAACAGCAGCCACAATTTGATTGCACCAGAATCTAGTTCTTGAATAAAAGTACACATTATTGAAGACGATTGTTAAGGGCTTCAAACCCAGGATGCAGGTTTCATCCTTCATTCTCTCGGCTGTAAGGAAATAATGGACTCCTATCTTTTGCAGAAAGTAGATGCTATAACTCTCGCGAGCATGCCGTCTTTTGCATCAAACGTACCAATCGTGGACCGTACTTCAATTCAGCAACCGTTGACACGATTAGCCTACGAAATCATGCAGGGGGCATATGACCTTATTCCTAGTGATTCCATTGTTTAGTGGACGATGCGGAGTTGAGGTTCGTTAGTCTTCCTCTCAATCACTTCCCATCATTCGATTCTTTAGTTAAAGCAAATGATTGAAAATGATTGATTGCAGCTTTAGCCAATTCCAAGAATAATAAACAATCGCTACAAGGCTTACCAGCGAAATAGATGAGATTCACATGGACTTCTGCCCCTCGGCGGAAGGATGGCAAAAAAAAAAAGAATTAGCAGGTAAACGGATTTAACAAAAGAATTTTCATGTATTCAAATTCCTGAGAATATAGTCAGGGAAGGCATATGCTATACAATCATATGCATTTCCAGAATCTCCATGGCCAATACACAAAAATGTTTCAGCTAAATGAACCTCAATTGAGATCTTTCCCAGCAAAAACCTTTTCCATTTTCTCCTATTAGCGCAACCAGAAATTTCACAGCTTCCAGTTTAGCTTCCAAAACGGGTGGTAAAATTCTTTTCCGGGTGCCGTCCAAGTTCAAGTTTCGTGTCATAAATTCGGAATAGCCATAATTAAAGTACTTGAAAATATCTTTGAGATCCATTCTTGGCAGGTCGGGAACTGGGGTTGTCAGAGGTTGGACATATTATAAAGAGGTAAACCAAACAAAGATTCGGCCTTTAACTGCTGCTCCTCTTCATTCAAATACTACTGACTACTTGATTAATAAAACCTGCCCAAGACCAAGAGAGGGGAGATATGGAATCATACCCTTCTTAGGACGGAGAGTCTACTCTAGAAGCCATGTTATTGGTCCGGATTGCACGGGAGCTTTTGTCATAACGCTCTGTGTTTTCTTCCTGTTATTAAAATCCAACCCGCACATGGCAGGAAGATGCAACTCCGGCCATCATTTACCAACCAGAAACTCCGCCATTTTCCCATCTCTTTCTCAATCCATACTTCGTACAGCAAATTTCCTATTATTAAAAACGAATGCTTTTCTTTACAGCTTTCGTTTTCCATTGGATTTATAGGAGGGACCCAAAGTGGAATATGGAGTGTTTAGAAAGGGACCCCGTACCCAATGCTGATCATCCATTCCCCTACAATATATTCTCTGATCTGATATATGGTTTACATAATTGTTGATTGGTTCTAATTATAAGTACATTGGCAAATCCAATGTACTTACACCCTAAAACAGCAGATATGATTTTGTAAATCACAAAAAAAGTTCTTGCACTTTGTCTCACAAGCCCACCAAAAAACAAATCAACTTCGATCTCATAGGTTTTTGACGTCTCTAGAGTTTAGGTTACAAATAATAAAGGGCTATCTATCACGACGGGTCCCCCTAAAAAATACAATCCAAATGAGCGATCTAGATTCACAATCAGCTAAGATTTGCCTCCATCTTACTTGCTGTAATCATGAACCGACGACAGGAAGCGTTCAGCTGCCATCACTGCAAAAGAAAAACGGAGAATATGAAATTTGTAAGATCCAATCTGTGCCAGTATTAGCCTGACGCAGGTGGCTAGAACATTTTTTGAAGCATTCGGGACAGTTCGGTTGACAATAAGAGCATTTTTGGACTGGTTAAGTCCAGTTCTCTTAAGATTTATTAGAGCAACTCAAAGCATTTCTCAACAATTAACCTAAACTTGCAATGCATACACGCATATGCATAGAATAATAATTTCCAAAGAGAAATTCGCCTTTGAAACTCTTCAACCCAACTTTCTTCGACCGATCATAGGGAGAAGTATTTTGACACTGAGAGGATGAAGCCACTAATATTTTCCATTTAAACAAAGCCATGTTCATTGAAAAAAAAACAGTGACAAGCAACACTTTTGTAGACTGCCTTTGCTTCCGCACAGCAGAAAACCTGTCAAGCAATCAACGCAGAGTAGAAGCCGTTTCACTTTAGTGGTGCAAAATAACTGAAATCTAAAAGCCATATAGATACAAATCGTCCAATAGTATTACAACTCGACCTTTTTGCGGTAAGCAATCATCCTGGAAAGGGAAAAAGAAAATAAAGGGAAATTTCTCATGCCCGGGACAATTACACCTTTGAGAAATAAGGAAGCATTTGCCTCCACAGCTGGAGATTTACAACGTGAACAGAGAATGACTAGGTATAATCAGCATCCATGACAACATCACCAGTAGACTTGCAGCTTTAAATTGCATTGCCTTCAAAACTTTCATATTCTTCACTTCAATAATGAACTATTATAGGCCCGTGATGCTCAAAGGAAAAAACTAAACCGCTTTTAGAAAATGCTGGTATTACCTACACAATGGATGGCACACAAAATCCGAATACAATGAACATTAGTTCATCTAAACCAAGAAAAGAAAACATGAAACAATTGGCAGAAGCACCAAATCAAGATAGTATGCAAAATAAGAGCATAAAGAAAAATCACTTCAAGAGGGTGACTTGAAAAGCTGACAAGATGGCAAGCCAACAATACAGAGAAGAATGTTATTCGATTTTTCAATTTTCACAACTAACAATTACCAAGCGTGGAACCTGCAAAATGTTTGCACATCGACTCCACGGAAATTTTCATGAATTCTCTTTTTTCCTTCTCTTAGACTTCTTATTAGGACTTTCAGTGTTTACAGCAAATGTTTCCCCATCATTTGCGGCTTTATCAGGCTCTGAAATTTCTCTGTTTTGCTCGTTTGCTCTCCTCTTTTTAATTGTACTGCAATATCAGTTTTCGCAGACAACATCACTACTCGTCAAGCCAAATAGTAATAAACCGTAAGATAGACGCACTCATTTAAAACAAGATAAATAAACTCAGACCAAATTCATTTTTATGCCAAGTAGACTAGAACCTGTCAGATTGTGACCATTCCTCCAAGTGTCTTTCCAACCATTTAACACATCCTGTGTGAGCAGGAAGCAATGAGCCAGATACGTGCAGTATTTCTTCATCGAAGCTACAATGACAAGTTACCACATACAATTATTTAACCATTTCATCCAAATTTCATAGTGAAACTACTGAAATCTGCAAGTATTAAATTAATCTCGTGAAATATTCTTACTATATGAAGCACAACTAGGCTTTATAACTAATGCGAAAAAAGCAATCACAACAATCTTATACAGGATCCCAAATAACAGAAATTGGTCAATTTCACACAGAAGATCCTTTCTCCCCTCCCCCCCCCCCCAACCCCAAAAAATGAAAAATCCAGGAAAAGGGTCTACTATTGAAACAATCTTAGAGATCATATTAGCCAGCCTTACAGTTCTGTGAAAAAGCCATCAGATGCAGTTTATGGAGATATTTTCCTACAACTTTTCCAATTGACCAGAAAAACATGATTCAAATGACTTTTGGGCCCCTCTTGATATAAGGTTCAATATTTTCACAGAACGCGTGACACATTATGCCGACCACAATGGCATATGCACATAAAGAGCAGGAAAGTCCACCAAAAAAAACAACAACAACAACAAATCATAGACAGAAAATCACATCTTTTACAAGCAACTTTCCAATTAAAGTGAGATCAACTGAAACAAAGGAACTTGAACACATGAACCCCAAGTTACATATTAACTTGTAATCCAATTAGAATTCAGAACAAATGCAAAAGACATGCAAACATCCTTCATATCTCCCTGCTCTTCTTTTATCAAAAATCATAGAAAGACAACCAGGATACTAGATCTTTGCAGTGTGTCTACCCTAACAATATAAGACATTCTGCACAAGTACCTATAGGGGTATTAAAATAGTGCACAGTCAACAAAAAATACAGTATTCAAAAGATTTGCCATTCTACCTTTTAACTACAAAGCGTATAATAGTTCCAATTTTGATCCTGTGTTTCTTGTGAATTGTACTCCGAAAGACTTCTTTGCCAGGTTTCTGCAGCAAAAGAGTTGACTTACATTGTAGTCGCATTTAGGAGCTTAAATACACACATACATACCAGCCTCCATCCCCCTAGTCCATGCCTCCCTCAACCAAATTAATAAACAGATAGAAGAGTAAACTTTTCACTTGTGAAAGCTCACAGCTTTGAACTTAAATTCCTCACGAATATCTTCGGCCATTATAGCAGCGGCAGAAAAACCAAGAATAACAACATGAATGGACTGTTCGCTAAGTCTAACTACCTCTCCCTCTGCAAAAGAGAAGCAACAGGGAAGCAATTACTGAGAAAGTTAAGCATCTGCAAGAAAACAGACAGTATTAACCAGTGCAACAGAATCCCTCCAGTGTCCGGGCAAATTTATCATCATTCAAGTTTAGTATTGTTTTAATACAATAAAAAATGTTGCAATCTAATAAGACAAACTTTGGGAGTACCTAAAACCATGTCTGGTTTTGGATGAAAAAGCAGCAGTTTTGTTTCTAGCCGCACTCCAAAATAAGGATGAACTCCCGGCAAAATCTTAGCCAAATTACTTGGGAAGTCCGTGTCATATGCCAATAAAACACCATCAAAAGTTTCATTGAACCTGGTACATGCATCAATTACCCAAGGTAAAAAAAAAAAAAAAGATAACCAAATTAACCACAAATTAAACAGATTCTGCAATGAACTAGCATAATGCTGCAATTATTCTACCATTCTATCACAAAACTCTATACTTTCTATGCTGGGCACAAAGATTAATGGTTAATACACAGTATAATTTAAGGTTCAAGGAATTTTTTCTTACCATGCCATAAAATTCAAGTATACTCTTTTGACAAATAAACCGTTTTTTCACTCCATTCTGTAACCAGTCAACAATGATTTCGCACATCCATGGGATTTACTGGAATATTAGCAATCAATCAAAAATTCATATTGGATTCCAATTAGGACAGGAAGGATTTTGACAAGTTTCACTAGAATGCGGGGAAAATATACAATGAAGCTAAAAGTACAATAAAAAACTTCCACAATCTTAGAAGAGTTCGAGAATTCGCAGGCTCTGATGTGCTAAGATATGTGAAAGCTGAGGAATTCAGTTATTGACCAAACAATACATGCAATCAATTTTCATGTGCAAGGGCCAGAATCAAGCTTTATGATTGGCAGCTAGGACATCAGCATTGAGTGCACATTCATCAAGATCATGTTGTATGATGACTCAAGCTAAAATACAAAACTACAACAAACCAAAATCGTAAAACCTGGTGCATCCTTACATCAAGTTCTGCTTCAAGCTATTTGAACTCAAAACTTTTTAAATATCTATGCTTGACTCCATATGAAGATTCATCATTTTGAAAAAACAACACACAACAGCACAAAACTCTTAAACACACGTCATGAATTTTGCATCAAATACCAGTTCAACGTATCATTTGTGCGTACTAATCACAAATACGAACTCAAAGGTCCTAAATTGCCCAACTTAATAAAGACAATCAAAACACACAACAGATAGGTGTTTTACTATCTCAGTGGCACTTGTAAAGCACCTAAATGCACATAATTGCCATAACATGCTAACATCCGTTAGAAACTCACTCCTTAAGAAACTTATGGAGTATATTATCATAATAGCTTTGGCTTCCCAAGTTTTGTCAGAGTTGGCAGGTATGATTGCAGCTGGATCTTTTCGCGTCATAACCATAGTACAAACTCACTTCCCAAAATAGCTGCACTTGAGCTTCATTCAGACCAGATAAATGAATAAATTGCCATTTTACAATCTCGGTGGCCAGCTTGCTTTCATGCATTAAAACAACATTGTTCTATCCATTTTTTGCCAATAAGTTGACCAGCATGGAGAAGAACCTGGAGAACGAAAACTGAAATCTATGCAAACGAAATTATGCAAATTATAAACCTTCACCCAATCTTAATTGAGTTTTACAGTGGACGATACGCATTACAATTGGCAGCTAGCACAGCAGCATTGACTGACATTCATGACACTCACCAATAACGAAGATTAAGACTCAGTACGCAAGATTACTAAAGACCGGGATGCTAAAGAATACATTAAGTTCTGGATTTGAAGTTTCACTTAAAGGTATGAAATGTGCACGAATGCAAAGAACCATCAACATGAACTCACCGTTCCTTAATAGCCGCGGTTGATTAAAAAACAAATAAGGAGAATTAACAAGAAACTAGAAATTAACTGCACTCTATAACATAATTTTGGATAATTGAATTTGCAGAAATTAATTAAATTTATTACTTGAAAAGTAGAGAGCTGATTTCACCATGAATAGCATCGGCAACATTTTTGGCCTTGGATGGATGTAGATAGACTACCAATTTGGCGGCAGCCAACTTCAGCCCTTCCATTGCTTTAACCCACCAAGAGAATTGCTTTGTGTTGAGCAGCGAAACCCTAGGGATAATTTCATGGAGGTTTCTTCTACAATTTCACTGCCCTCCTCTAAAGTTTTGAAAATATCACTGACCTCCCTTATAAACTATTTTAGACCCATGCTTACCTCATGATTGGTCAAATGACTTTTATATCCTTACAACTTAGAAAATATTACGTATTTATTTGGAGATAAATAATTTAGTCACTTGTACTAAATTAATCATGAATTTGAATATAAAAAAAAATTGAAAATCTTGAATACTAAATTTTATAACGATAATTGTTAACATTTTAAAATTCTTTTTCTATATTTTAGTAGTTCTTGCAATTTCTTTCTAAAAAAAAGGTTAAAATGTCTATTTAAATATTATTCTTTCATAAAATTTTCATAAGAATAACAAGATGAATATGAAAAATACACAAAGAGAGTGTAAAGTATTAAAATATATTTATAATTATATTTTATTAAGTTATGGATAAAATGCAATTGCACATAACCTATTCTTTCCTTTCTTTTCCAAAATATTTATTAAATCTTTTCTTTCTTTGTATAAGTAACGCAAACAAGATGGTTAGAAAAAAAATTTCTACTTTGATTTATTTGCTTTTCCATTAAAATCATACCCTTTTATTAATCCAAACGCTTCTTGAGAATTATTATTTTTTAATTACAAATGATAAAATTTTCTTGTTAATCATTTGAAATAATGGACCCCATAAGTTAAAGAAATAATTCAAAATTCTAATACTAATAGCTAGTTTGAAAGTTGAGATTAGAAAAGAAAATATGGGAAATGTTAAATTATGAAAGAAAAGTAAAGAAGAGAAGATATTTTAATGTTGTTTGGAAATTAAGGTAGGAAAATGGATGATTTTGCATATACATATATATATATATATATATGTCAATAAAATTTTGTTCAATATGCATTTGAGAACAAAATTGGCATTTAAAAAATTTTATTAGGCATTCTCAACTTTTTCGATGCTTTCTGCCCAAAGGGTAACCATAACAGTAGGACCTCATCCGCTTAAATCAAATGCTTTTCCATAATTTTATATCCCTCAAAAACTCCCAAACGTTAGAAAAAGTGTTTTTTCTAATCAAATCACAGCTCCCAAACTAGCTATAAGAGTTTAAGAATTTTTCGCGTAAATTTTGATTCCAAATTAACAAGTCTTTCTCTCCAATACTTTGATTTTACTATTTTATGTAATACTATGAAAAATAGTCATTATTACTATATTCTATTACACTTATGATAGAGTTTAGTCTTTATTATCTATTTTTAACTAATACTTTCTTTTGATAACCAACTAGTAATAAGTTAAGGGGTATTTTTGGTATGAAATATTCTTCTTACTCTTGAAATCATTTTTCTGATTGTTGATTTTGTTGAATTGGGCTAATTTGTTACAAGAACATTAGTTTTAAGGAAGGTTGATGATATTTTGAAAACTTTAGGGGAGGACAGTGAAACTGTCATAAACCTCAAGGGAGGTTTCTAAAACTATCCCAAACCCTAGATAAACCCTTATTTGAAGTTTCAAACTTGCCGGGTCTGGAAAAGGAAGACGTTTACGGGCACGGGCCTAACATTTTCATCTGCCACAAGTTGTGGGCACCGGTTTTTGATCTTGACCCCAACTTCATTATGCTATTATTCGGTGACACCCAAAAATATGTTAGATTGAAACTACTGGGCCGTTTGACCCACCTGGCGCTATGCATGCTATTGCTTGATTAAGAGTATCTTCCTGGCCCATGGAGTGTCTACTAACGCGTTGGCAAACAATAAGATATTTGTATGCGACTTAATTCCGGTCTCTAATTGGCCCTAATAAAAAGGGACAGTAATCTTTCTTAAGAAGAAAAATAGCAGTATACTTTGTACATAAATTCGCTTGTTGGGGGAACTAAGGTAATTTGTCACACCCTTACCCTTTTATTTTGAAGAGCAATTTGTGATAAATGGGACTGTAAAACCCAAAATGCACCCTGAAATTAATAATTACTTTTGTTGTCGCTTTAAGTAACTAGGAAAATAGGAATGTTAGCGGTTACATATTGCTCTTAGCCATTAGTTTTTTCAAATCTATTGCTTGTTCTTTTTTTCCTCTCACATTTTAGATATTTTTATATCCAGACTTTTAGGCAAATTTCGTAGTTTTTTAAATAGAATCCCATATTGAATGGAATCTAATTTTTTTTTTTTTTTTTTGTAAACAGAGTCTCGAATCCCAAATCTCTCACATACACTCGCTCTTTTGAATTACTCATTCCATCCCTCCATGGCACGTAGTTCTCAAGTATAAACAATTAAGGATTGGATATGCCACAAAATACACAACTAAGATGGTACTAAATTCACTGGCAAAGTAAATTTTAAAGCAGGAAGAATAGTTACTAAGCGAGAGAAGTTTTACGTTAGTTGGCATAACTACGAGGCATGCGTAGTATTTGTTCCATAACCTATAAAAAAAAAAAAAAAAAAAAGACATCACATGAACATATAAGTATCTCACTTACTAATTCACATGCTAAGTGGAGTTCAATAGACATGTTAAATGAAGCCAAGTGGACTCTTATATGTTCACGTGGAATTCTTTCATTAGTTAGGAAATAAGTATTAGACATGCTTTTTATAGTTGTTTTGAGCATATATAAAACTTTTCATTAGTAAAAGGATTAACAAGTTAATTGCCATATTGGAGGAAGAAATAGATTGAATGGTACGGAAAAAAAAAAGAGTATAAATAAGAGAGAATCTTGATTTGATTCTAGACATCCCATACTAAATAAAGAAATAAGAAAAGCAAATTTTAATTACCCGAATCTCCCAAATTAAGCTGGGAGTGAGTGGGCGCGACCAACGAAGCGAGTAGTACCGGAGGAATGAAGGATAAGTGGGCTGGACTGGAGTGGGACAAAACGGGGCTCTCCAATGTGTCGCGATTCGTACTTGATCGTCATCAGAGGAAGCAATACGAGTGTCCCCCTCTTATCCCTACACACAATACTGTTGCGATGTTCCCCTGGCAGCACGCTCAAAATTCCCCTTGCCTTCTTTCCTTCTGTCAATTATAACCACTGGCGTCTGGACCCCACCTCCTATTATGTGTTTGTCTCTCTTAATACCCCCTCCTAATTACTCCCTTTGTTTTTACCCAAATAAATACTCTCTTATTATGTCCCTAATCATAATCCTAATCATTCCACTGTTCCATAAAGTTCCTGCAATTTTTTGACCCATCTATTATGAAAAAGTGCTTCCTCTGTGATGGAATATCATGATTGCACCACTTACACTCCTGTAATTATTGATCTCCTAGACCTGCAAATACCCACGTATAGACTTTTAATGTATAGTCTTCCTCTTCTTCTTCTACGTGGCTTTTTTTTTTTTGAGGGATGACATGTTTCTGGCAATCAAATTGAACGCACTTTACAAGATCTACGGAGGAAGAGCAAAAGAAAAAGGTAGGAGTGGTTGCATTGCATATCATCCTTTTCATCTTAAAAAAAGAATCATATAACAAAAACAGTAGCGTTACACTCTTTTTTTTCCCCTAATAAAAAAATTTCCAAATCATCTTCGATCTGAGCACGCTAAATCGTCATTCTATTAAGTGCTTGCAGCTTTGGAGTCCATCTCGTAGATGTAGAGGTGCCACATGGATAATTCATACAAGTTCAACAAGTGATATGTCTAATTGAATAAACACACCTATATACCCACTTAATAAATGAACATGAACATACCTAATTGCATATTATTCATGACCGACCTGCTTAAAATTCTACTTATTTTTTTTTTTGGTCCAGATGTTGTTTGACAAGTGAAAACAACATTTTATTGGTATTGAGTTTGCTAGAAATTCAAATTCATCCACTTAATGTTCACAAAAAATTGAGTTCGAACGTGCAATTTTTTTAAAATAGGTATAAATAGGTAATGCGAATCAATTTATTGCCCACCGATTGGATGGGCTTGATTGAGTCACCCACCTAAATCTATTTAAAATTCATTGCGCATTCAAAGTCACTTATTAATTGATGGATGTGGATGAAGTAATATAATTGAATTGTAATTTACACCGATACTTGCCTGGAAGCATATAACCAACACATACCATATTGCTTAGCAAATGGCACGCAAAAAATTAAAAGCGCAACTCATAAATCAATAGTAATTTGCGTTATCTGTACGCTCAAGTTACGTAATTTGACGAGGAGCAGTTCTTCCTTTTCGCTTTCTCTTTTGTCATTGCCATATCGCTTAATCTCCACACTTCAACTCATGCCACATACGGCCTTCAGTGAGGTCGTCCCTGTGATTGCAGATTGAGGGAAGCCCACTTCGAATCATCATAAGCAACCGCAGCAGCCGGATGTCCTGGCTTTTGCTCTATAAAACTTTCTTCTTCTTCTTCTTCTTTTTTTTTTGGGTGGTAAATGATTGACATTAATTTGTGCATGATGTAGAGTGGATTTGACGAAGGCGCAGGATGGAGCACAATAATGCCAGTGTCCTCCTTATTCAACGTTGTAAATTATCACAATTGACCAAAATTAATCACGAGTAGCCACTGGCCATTTGGTCCGGTGGTCATCACCATCTTTGGTGATGCTGGGTTCAACCCTTATCTCCCACAAACTTGTCACTTTACGTGGCTGGTCTTTTGCCTCCACGGGATAGCTTGAGCGGCCCGCTCCCCCTCTTTAGGGTATGGCGACCTTCTTGGCTTGTTCAGGATTCGAGTCCCGTTGTTAACGTGCTCGGTGTGGAGTGGGGCCTTCTCTCCCGGACCGCAGGAGATTAGTCGGACCCCGTAAGAATTGACCCTGTGTTGACAAAAAAAAAAAAAAAAAAACACGAGTAGCAAATCCAGAACTTAATGATGGAATGGAGAGATCCACGTCGGCTGATATGACTCTCCAGCTATGTATGTATCTCTCACTTTTTTTTTTCCCTTCCCTTATGCTGTTCTTTTTGTGCATGACTCACTTTTGTAAATTCATTTGCATTTTTCATAAAGTGATTGCTACTAATTAATAGATACTAGTA